GGAGAAAAATATTATTACGGAAGAGATCGGAGAGGAACAAAAAAGCAACGGAATATGCGACCAGGTGTGACAGAATGGTATTTAATTCCAACAAAATTTATGACATATGACGAATAGGGAATTTACAATTTTACAAATAAAAGAGGAAAAATATAAAGACACACACACACACACACACGTGTGTATGTGTGTGTGTGTGTAAATGTATTCTTGTGTGGTCGTATGTGTATGTATGTGTGTTTGTGTGTGTATGTGTGTGTGTGTTTGTGTGTATGTTTTCGTAATTGTCCTTTATAGATGTATGTGTAGGCATTATAAGAGCTTTTCTCTGTACCACTGCGAGGCATTTACATACATAATCGTTCCTTTGCTTTTGCTCTTTCTGATAGACAAATGATAGACAGTTAGGGGGAAAATTATATTGAATAAAGTAATTGTTCAGCTAGATATTAATGCTGAATGATAATAGCAAATAATTAAACAGTTAATATTATCCTTTTGTTGTTCACAATATCAACTACTGCTGATATCGATATTTAGTTGGTAATGTTATGATGTCAGATGTTAATATTTAATGATTATATATATTATTGTTTTATTGTCGAATGCAACTCCTATTACCTACTACAACTAATGATAATCATGATAACAACATCCACACCAGTCATCACCATCATTGTTATTACTACTACAAAGTTCAAGAAGATATTATGTTGTTTTTATGTTGCTGAAATTATGACTTCACTAATACAAATATATATGGTTTATTTATATTTTATCTTGTAATATATTCAGAGGCAGGATATTTTTCTGGGTATCTTAAGTTAGCCCTCAATTTGTAAGATAACCAATTCATTCAATATTTCTTTGTTAATATCTTCTTTTTACTGGCACGATATTGGTTACACAATACTTCTTCTTCCTCCACTTCTTTTTATCATTATGGTTATTCTGCTATTATTCTAGCTTATGTTATTCTACGACATTTATAAAGAGATATAATCATTTATCCATTTCCACTGTTCAGTATGTGTGCCTGAATGTAACACCATGGTGGTATTGGCAGTGGTGCCGATGGTAATAACTCCTATGTATGGTGGCCATGGCGGGAGACGTAGTCGTTATTGGTATGATGGTTATAAGTATGGTGATTCCTTTGGAGAGCATGGTGGATATGGGCAGAACGGCTACGGAGGAAGGTATGGTGGCTATGTTGAATACAAGCCGTGGAAGCTTGCGTAATGAATAAAAGCAAGGGAAAGTATCATACATGTTTGAAGGCCCCCACGTACCGTTTGCAATGGGTGTTCATTCTGTATAGTAAGAATATAATAGTAGTAAATATACGAACACACACACATGTGTATACATATACATTTGTGTGTGTGTATAGATATCTGTGTATGTGTATATATATATATATATATATATATATATATATATATATATATATACATTATATATACAATATAATGTATATTATATTGTATATTCATTATATATATATATATATATATATATATATATATATATATACATTATATATACAATATAATGTATATTATATTGTATATTCATTATATATATATATATATATATATATATATATATATATATATATATATATATATATATATATATATGTGTATATATATATATATATATATATATATACATTTATTTATATATATATCTATATCTATATATATGTGTGTGTGTGTATGATTTATATACATATATATATTCCATTATTTATTTGTTTATTTATTCATATATATATGTATCTACATGTGATATATTTATATCATACATATACTTACATACATGCATACATTCATGCACACGCACACACACACACGTGTGTGTATATATATACATATTTATACATGCGTGTGTGTGTATACATTTTAAACATATATCGTTATTGACAACCGCACCATGCAGAGCAGACATCGGTGTGGTCAGAAAGATCATACATTTATAAAGCACAAAGGATACAAAACTAAATGTATAACTATGTTCAGAATCTCCTCTCTGTGATAACTGTAGAATGAAAAATAGTTACAGATTTTTTTTTTTATAAATGTTCCCTTAACTCTTGAGAAACAATGACTCAGAGGTCACATCATACGTCAATGACCCCTTGTTTTCACTATCTAAAACACTGACATCAACATCAATTTTCGGAACCAAATATTTTAGTATTTCGTAAACAGAACCAGCCTTAATCGAATTTATTCTTTGATCATTAAAGAAGTAGAATATTTTTCATATCTTTAAAGAAACTTTTATTTATTTATTTATTTTTACCCTGAATCACAATATTTCTAGTCTTAATATCTCACACTTTTCGCCTGCACAACTCTCCGTCATTCATGCATTGTTTCTGTCATGCCATGCGACCTTGAATAATAAAGGATTTGCAGTATATAAAGGGAGACGTTGAAAAAAATGCTTCAGAACGAGAACAGCATCTTGTGTCTACTTCATCAACATGGTGACTACTTTCGTGCTGGTGAGAAAACTTGATCACTCAGTTGTTCAGATCTGTCATTCCTAGCTTATCTAATCTTATTTAATTTCGCATTCCTACAGACCCTTTTTTCATCCGTTCTTTTATCATTATTATTAGTATTAGTTACACTACTAGTAGTAAGAGAATATCTTAAGCCGTAAGATTATAAGTAATTAAATCGCTTCTCAGAATTCTTAACTTTTCTCACGGAGCCGCGACTTTAAACTACACAGATCCAATGGTTAGGGACCAATGGTTTATATTCATTTTATTTATGCTTTTGATATTTTGCTCGGTATGCTCTTTAGGTCGGCGTTACTATAGGAGGTATAAGTTTTATTCTTTGATCATATCTTGCTTTTCTCCTGGTGATTCAAAAAGAAAGAAAGAAAGAAAAAGGAAATACAGTCCCTATGAAAATACCTGATCTGATGGGTTCGTTTTATTCATTACTTTTACGCATTGCAGTTTTTACTTTTTTCGTTCACCATAATTTTCATACTAATGGCAGTTTATTCTTCAGCGTATGACCCTGCTCGCTATGGTGGCGATGGCTATGGTGTCAGTGGTGATGGCCCATCCTAACCCTGGCTATGGTCATGGTGGCTATGGGTATGGTGGCCACGGCGGAGGTCATGGTGGCTATGGGTATGGTGGCCATGGCGGAGGTTATGGTGGATATGGTGGTTACGGCCATGGCGGAGGACACGGCGGTCATGGCTATGGTGGCTATGGTTATGGACGTTGAATCGGATACAAAATGTAGTATATGGAATCACCTTTTGAATAAATAAAGATTACATTTACAGAGGCGCCATTTTATTACCTCAAGAAGAAGAAGCGAAAGGGCATAGTAAAATGTAAAATGTATTGTACAGAATATGGGAGAGAAGAGAGAGAAGAAAAATAAAAGATAAAGAGATGTAGAAGGAAAATGAGAAGAAATAAAAAGTAAGTAAAAGAGAAAAACGATGAGGGAGAAATGGCAGAAAATGAGAGACAGAGAGAGAGAGAGAGAGAGAAGGTAAAGGAGGGCAAATGAAAGAATACAAAATAATCCAATAAACTAGACAGTCAGTTCCTTCGAGGTCCCCCTGAGGCTGCATCCGGAAACCAGCTATCTCGCCGGAAAAGTTATCGCGTTGCATCCGCCCGTCTCTCTTTTCCTTTATTATTATAACTCATTAAAATAAATTCTTCATAGTTTTACTGTCATAGTTATTCCAAAAATAATTGAATGGAATTGCATATAGATAATGTAAAAGAAAGTTTTCACTCCTAAGTTCTCCATTTGGTTCCCACTATGTGTATTTCCTAGCCAACCCTTATACATACATGCATTCACAAGCATACACATGCTAATACATATGCACATGTGTGTGTATATATCTGTATATGTATATATAAATGTGTGTGTGTGTGTGCGTTTGTGTGTGTGTGTGTGTGTGTGTTTGTGTGTGTGTGTATGTGTTTGTGTGTGTGTGTGAGTGTGAGTGTGTGTGTGTGAGTGTGTGTGTGTGTGTGTGTGTGTGTGTGTGTGTGTGTGTGTATGTGTGTGTGTGTGTGTGGATGGCCTCTTGATATAAACAAATATGTGTCTTAAAAATATTCTTTATTCATAATGGTCGTGATATTGGGATTTTAGTCTCGAAGGTCCCTATAAATAAAGAAACAATGTTGCAGTTTTAGAAACATGAATAAGAATATTGTAATTTCAAATAGATTTAAATTACCAGAATTTATGACATATGCTTATTATAGAGCCAATATTTAAGTGCATGAAAATAATACCGTATATTCAGTCAAAGTATATTTATCAGGCATAAAAAAATCCAATGAAGATAACTAAATGATATATCTATTCTATATATGCCTTTTGGTATGCAATGAGCACTTCATACTCTATAAAAAGAAGTACGATCATTTTCATTTAAAAAGTACAGATCTTGGTCATTAAGGAAAGAAAAAGATATTTATCTTGTCGATGAACATATATATATATATGTGTGTGTGTGTGTGTGTGTGTGTGTATACATATATATATGTATGGATGGATGGATGGATGTGTAAATACATATATATATGTATATATATACATATATACATGTATATTTATATATTTGTATTTGTGTGTGTGTGTGCGTGTGTGTGTGTGTGTATGATGCACTGTATACTGTATAGATGTGATATGAATATAGTTGTACATATAGCTGGAGGGAATTGTGAACAGATGAACAGATACATCGATATATATATAGATGAATATATACGAATATATATATGTTGTGTGTGTGTGTGTGCGTGTGTTTGTGTGTGTGTGTGTGTGTGTGTGTGTGTGTGTGTGTATGTGTGTGTGTGTGTGTGTGTGTAAATATATATGTGTATGTATATGTATATATACAGAGAGAGAGAAAGAAAGAGAGACCTATAAACTAAAATAAATAAATAGATAGATAAATAAATGGATATACATATATACATATATATATACACGACTGAAACGGCGAAATATTGAGGCAGCAGAACGTTGCACACCCCTTACGCCGACCGAGTGCCCAAGGAGATCCTCAGGACAGGGACGCGAGCTCTTAGAATTGATCCAAGCCCGATAACTCAAATTCCTCGGCCATGCAGTCAGTAAAGGCACATTAGAAGACCTTATCCTAAATTATGGAATTAATTTTTGACAGTGATAATTGATAAGAGTTGCGAAAGGGAACAAAGATATAAGAATAAAGAGAAACATAGATTACACATCTTCTCTCAGCTTACTGTTGTATTAATAAAAATCAAGGCCAGTCAGTGCAACAAAATAAAGAGAAAAAAATAGTAGTGATTTACTTGCATTTCGATTCGTGCGTTGGAGAGATATTTCACTGAATTAATGACTGTTTCAAAGTTATTTTTCGGAGACTATACATGTTTGATTAGATATGATAAAGGCGGGTGATATATACTACACTGAGGGAGACGGGAGAATTCATATTTGAATTATGTAAATATATCACTACATTAAAGTTATTGTCATCATTATTGTTTTGACAGGCATATGTATACTTGTATCTAATGTTAAGTAAACTTTATACACTCATACACACATCTATCTTTCCATGTATCTATGTATCTATCTATATGTGTATGTATGCGTGTGTGTGTGTGTGTGTGTGTGTGTGTGTGTGTGCGCGCGTGTGTGTTTGTGGATACTGAATAATTGTATGCATACTATATATATGCCTTCTTGCTTTTTTTATGCGCGTCTTGATGTAGATTTGAAAAGAAACATATCATATGGTAATATGCATATATATACATACATATATATATATATATATATATATATATATACATACATATATATATATGAATAGATAGATAGATATCTGTATGCATGTGTATATATTTGTGTTATATATTTGTTTTATCAGTACATTTTGGTGTAAAACCAATCCTCTTTTCACTGCACTGAAGATATAAGAAAACAAATATTAAATTCCATCCATAATGAGACGCTATTTTTCATCTTATCTTTATTCGATTTCTTTTCTTTACTGAATCACCTTCCTATGCATTCTAGGACGTTTCGCTCAGTCATTTCTATCGGCCATGTCCATATCCATAACCATCATGTCCGCCATACCCATATCCACCATAACCCCCGCCATAGTCACCATACTCATAGCCACCATGCCCAAGGTCAGGGTGGGCCATCAACACCCCACTACCAGCTTGGCGGCTCGCTGTGGACCACAATGGAAGGGACTTATATGAGGAAAAATTAAATAGTTGAAATAGAGATGGTAAAAAAAAGGAGAATGAAGATGAATAAGAAAGGCAAATGAAAAATGTCATTAAAGTGAAGTATTCATACTGATGTTCGCAGTTTGACCTGGTTTATATCTCGCTTGGAAGAAGTGGCTTTAAATACTAGCTTTTGATCAAGAACGCCTTGAATGGAATTTATACAATGAGTGAGATACGTAGAGTATATATATATATATATATGCGTGTGTGCGTATGAGTGCGTATATGTTCCGCATGTTTGCATATATATATACGTCTGTTTGCACAGTACTGTATACTGTATATACTCCTCACTGATGAACTGGCACCATGCCGCTGTATGAAAATGAGTAACATAGGTTATTTTATTTCTATTTTATTTCTAATTTCTATACGAATTATATTCTCGACTTCAGCTGCGTTTCACGTTACCAATCAAGTAAGAGCAGACTACAATGCAATTTATGGTACAGGTGAATGAAAATGATGGTGGATTAGTATGAAAAATATAGACTGAAATAACTCTCGCGTTATCGACGGTTATTTCCACCTTGCATAGAGCTTTATATACTTCCACCCTCTCTTATCTTCAGGAATGTTCTTTCCAATTACCTTGATCCATCTAAGCAACCAACTTTTACTCCAAACGCTATTAAACGAATAACTAGGGAAGGGGGGGGATAAGGCTGGCAATGATAACAAATGTTTTGAGGCTTCGGTGAACAATAAGAGAGCGTCATCTGATCCACTTCGCTGTCTCGAAGAGATATATCGTTTGATTTCCTTTCTGTATTCAGCAACAATAAAATATTAAGTTTATAACACAATATTGAAGAAAGTATCGGTATCCTCCCATATATATGCATATATGGGAGGAAATACTTTTTACTTGTGGACAAATATATACATACATACACACACATATATATGTATACACACACAGAGGTATATATTTATACATGTATGTGTGTGCATATATATGTACACACACACTTTGTCAGAAGTGCATGGAGAATATATAATCCAAATGTGTATATATATACATATGTAAATGTATATATAGATATACATATATATGTATATGCATAATTCTAAAGAAATATACACAGAGGGGGAAAGAGACATTTTTTTTCGATTTCCTTGTCTTTATTGAATTAACTTTATTCGGCCACAATCATTTCGTCCATTTAGATTCACCGACCATATCCATAGCCTCCGTGTCCTCCGCCATAGCCGTAGCCACCATAACCATATCCACCATGACCTCCGCCGTGTCCACCATACCCATAGCCGCCATGACCCCTGCCATACCCAGGGTCAGGGTGGGCCGCCACCATCGACACCACCGCCAGCATCACCACGACCAGCAGGGCGGCGCGCTGTGGAGCACAACGGAAGGCGACTTAATGGGGAAAAAATAGATAGTTGAGGAAAAAGAGATGGTGAAGAGGAGAAAGAAGATGCAGAAGAAAGGCAACAAGAATATAAAGTTTTAAAAGTAAAAGAGGAAAGAGAAAGAATATGACTTAATTTACATAGATTTCCGGGTCCTTTTTAAAATCTTAATCATATATATATACATAGATATATATATACATATATATATATATATATATATGCGTGTGTGTGTATATATATACATATGTATATATATGTATATATATGTATATATATGTATATATATGTATATATATGTATATATATGTATATCATATATATGTATATGTATATATATGTGTGTATATGCGTGTGTGTGTATGTATATACATATGTATATATATGTATACACATATATACATAAATATATATATATATAGATATATATACATATATAATAGATATTTGCATGTTTTCTTGAAGATATTTCGTACCAAAACCTTTTATTTTCGCTAGTGATGATATGGGACCATGTGTTGAGCTAAAATAGCTTTAAACGCCGTTGCATGTTTTAACAGTAAAAATGCATTCATTCCATAGATCCTTTACAAAGTGTAATGGAATTACTGACAGTAACAATGACAAATGAATATGATTAGCGCATAGATACAGTAGAAGTACAAGCACCGATAAGTCCCTTCTGACAGGTGGTTTGAAAAAAAAGCACCACTTACATAACAGAGAAACATAAAATGCCTAAGAAATTTCTATCAAGAGTGCAGTCTTCATGCTTACGAAGTTGGCCGTTTGATCTGGTGTCTCTCATCACTTGGAATCAGTGGCTGTATATACTAGTATTTGATCAAGAACGCCGTCAAATACGGGATACACAAGAATTGACAAAGAAACAGAACGTGAAGAGCGTGGTATCTGTTTATATGCAAAGTAGATATACCGTTATGATCATATAATTGTTATGTATATGTAAACCAAACCTATAGGTATGTAAATCCTAAAACTGTCACTGACGAGAACTTGACTCCACTCTCGTAACCACCAGAACACACGCACACAAATATACATTTGTATATACATATGTATATATGTGTGTGTGTGTGTGTGTGTGTGTATAGGTATATATATAGATAGATATAGATACAGATATATAGATACACAGATATTGGTATATACATATGTTTATATGTCTAAAAAGACATGAATATATATATACAAACATATACGTATACATATATATATATGTGCGTGTGCATATATATGTACATACATATGCACACATATATATGTATATGTATATATATAGCATATATATGTGTGTGTATATGTATATTATATAGTATACATATGTATGTGTACATGTATATTTAGTATATATATATGTATACACATGCATACATATATTTTCATATGTATATATAGTATATATATATGTATATATATGTATATCATATATATGTATATATGCACACATGTATGTATGTACGTCTATGTGTACACATATATACACATGCATACACATGTGTGTATATATGTATGTATACTTATACACATATATGTATGTACAGGTGTGTGTATGTATATACATATGTATATATATGTATACACATATATACACATATACATATATATTTGTGTATGTGTATATAAATACACACACGTAGATACATACATATATGTTTATATGAATATATATATATATTTATTTATACATATATGTATATATGCATATATATGTGCGTTTGTATATTTGTATATATATGTGTATATATGCACACACACGCACACGGTCAGAAGCACATACCGAATATATAATCGAAACCGGTCAAATATATATACATATATATTTACTTATACATATATATACACATATATACATAAATATATATATAAAATATATGTATCTGTGTGTGTGTGTGTATGTATGAATGCATAGCTACTATTTATATAGAGAGAAATAAGATAATTGATACATATATAATAGATATTTGCATGTTTTCTTGAAGATATTTCGTACCAAAACCTTTTATTTTCGCTAGTGATGATATGGGACCATGTGTTGAGCTAAAATAGCTTTAAACGCCGTTGCATGTTTTAACAGTAAAAATACATTCATTCCATAGATCCTTTACAAAGTATAATGGAATTACTGACAGTAACAATGACAAATGAATATGATTAGCGCATAGATACAGTAGAAGTACAAGCACCGATAAGTCCCTTTTGACAGGTGGTTTGGAAAAAAAACGCCACTTACATAACAGAGAGACATAAAATGCCTAAGAATTTTACTATCAAGAGTGCAGTCTTCATGCTTACGAAGTTAGCCGTTTGATCTGGTGTCTCTCATCACTTGGAATCAGTGGCTGTATATACTAGTATTTGATCAAGAACGCCGTCAAGTGCGGATACACAAGAATTGACAAAGACACAGAACGTGAAGAGCGTGGTATCTGTTTATATGCAAAGTAGATATATCGTTATGATCATATAATTGTTATGTATATGTAAACCAAACCTATAGGTATGTAAATCCTAAAACTGTCACTGACGAGAACTTGACTCCACTCTCGTAACCACCAGAACACACGCACACAAATATACATTTGTATATACATATGTATATATATGTGTGTGTGTGTATTTGAGACAGAGAGACATATATATTCATTTATTTATCTATCTATATATCTATATATACATATACACATATATTTAAATATATATATAAAATATATGTATCTGTGTGTGTGTGTGTATGTATGAATGCATAGCTACTATTTATATAGAGAGAAATAAGATAATTGATACATATATAATAGATATTTGCATGTTTTCTTGAAGATATTTCGTACCAAAACCTTTTATTTTCGCTAGTGATGATATGGGACCATGTGTTGAGCTAAAATAGCTTTAAACGCCGTTGCATGTTTTAACAGTAAAAATGCATTCATTCCATAGATCCTTTACAAAGTTTAATGGAATTACTGACAGTAACAATGACAAATGAATATGATTAGCGCATAGATACAGTAGAAGTACAAGCACCGATAAGTCCCTTTTGACAGGTGGTTTGAAAAAAAAAACGCCACTTACATAACAGAGAGACATAAAATGCCTAAGAATTTTACTATCACGAGTGCAGTTTTCATGCTTACGAAGTTAGCCGTTTGATCTGGTGTCTCTCATCACTTGGAATCAGCGGCTGTATATACTAGTATTTGATCAAGAACGCCGTCAAGTGCGGATACACAAGAATTGACAAAGACACAGAACGTGAAGAGCGTGGTATCTGTTTATATGCAAAGTAGATATATCGTTATGATCCTATAATTGTTATGTATATGTAAACCAAACCTATAGGTATGTAAATCCTAAAACTGTCACTGACGAGAACTTGACTCCACTCTCGTAACCACCAGAACACACGCACACAAATATACATTTGTATATACATATGTATATATATGTGTGTGTGTGTATTTGAGACAGAGAGACATATATATTCATTTATTTATCTATCTATATATCTATATATACATATACACATATATTTACATATATAGAGAGAGGGTGAGAGAAAGAGTGATGAAGGCATTTGTTACTCACATTTCTCCTGTAGCTGGCGAATGGAGATCATGTCTACTGTAGATTTGTGAACACGGAAACACACACATATATGTATAAATATAAATATATGTATACATACATATGTTGATATATATGTAAATATATATATATATGTATGTATATATTTTTACATATATATATATATATATATATATATATATATATATATCGAAAATATAATACTAAAGAAATATACACGAAAGAGGAAAAAGACACTTTTTTTCGATTTCGTCATCTTTATTTGGTCACAATCATTTCGTCCATTTAGGTTCACCGACCATATCCATAGCCTCCGTGTCCTCCGCCATAGCCGTAGCCACCATAACCATATCCACCATGACCTCCGCCGTGGCCACCATACCCATAGCCGCCATGACCCCTGCCATACCCAGGGTCAGGGTGGGCCGCCACCATCGACACCACCGCCAGCATCACCACGACCAGCAGGGCGGCGCGCTGTGGAGCACAACGGAAGGCGACTTAATGGGGAAAAAATAGATAGTTGAAGAAAAAAAGATAGTGAAGAGGAGAAAGAAGATGCAGAAGAAAGGCAACAAGAATATATAGTTTTAAAAGTAAAAGAGGAACGAGAAGGAATATGACATATATTTGATAAATATATATATACATATATATGTATCTTTATTATTTCATTTTCTCTTATTTACTTTTCAAGAATCAGGGTCATTTGTAGACCTAAATAAGTTTTAAATGCCTTTGCAAGTTAAAATACATATATTCCGTAGGTATCTAGAAGGCTCAGTGAAATTAAGATCTTTGCTCGGAGAAATACAAACGTGAGTAATAATGGTATCTTAGATATCAAACTTAGCATGACAGGAATTCAATCAGTATATAGATGCAGTAAAATCACAGATTATTTAAAGATATAGACATAGATAATAAATACTCAAAGTGGCTAAGCGAAAGTGTCTCACCATCATGAGTGAAGCTTTCATGTCGACGTAGTTGGCAGCTGGAACTAGCCTGTGCCTCTAGTTTGGAGGCGGCGGCTTATATACTACAGGTTTCCTTTGATCAAGGACGACGCGGTCACAAGACAAGGATTGGCAAAGAACCATATGTGTGTGTGTGTATACATGTACACACACGCGCGTGCGCGCTCACACACACACACACACACATATATATATACATTTAAAGAGAAATAGATATCCAGATATGATATAGACATGTTTGTGTGTCTATGCATATAAGTATATATATATAGATAGATATAGATACAGATATATAGATACGTAAATATTGGTATATACATGTTTATATCTCTAAAAAGACATGAATATATGTATACATACATATATGTATACATATATATATAGTATATGTGAATGCGTATATATACATAAATATATATATATATATATTGTATATGTGTGTGCATATATATGTACATACATGCGTATACATATATATATATGTATATGTATGTATATAGTTTGTGTATATATATATATTATATATGTGCATGTATATAATATAGTATACATATGTAAGTGTATATATATATTTAGTATATATATGTATATATATACATACATATATGTGTATATATAGTATATATGTATATATATATTATATATATATATATATTTATATATATACACGCATGTATGTATGTATATATATATACATATATATACTAAATATATATATATACACTTACATATGCATACTATATTATATACATGCACATATATATATATATATACACAAACTATATACATACATATACATATATATGTATACGTATGTATGTACATATATATGCACACACATATACAATATATATATATATTGTATATGTGTGTGCATATATATGTACATACATATGTATACATATATGTATATGTATGTATATAGTTTGAGTATATATATATATTATATATGTGCATGTATATAATATAGTATACATATGTAAGTGTATATATATATTTAGTATATATATGTATATATATACATACATATATGTGTATATATAGTATATATGTATATATATATATTATATATATATATATATATTTATATATATACACGCATATATGTATATACGTCTATGTGTACATATATATACTATATATAGACACATACATAGGCATGTGTGTATATATGTATATATACTTATACATATATATGTATGTACATTTGTGTGTATTTATATACACATGTATATGTATGTATACACACATATATATACATATGTATGTATACACGCATACATACATTTATGCGTATAAATATGCATATATATGTATATATATACATGTATGTGTGTATGTGTATATATACACACACACGTACATACATACATACATGTTTATATGAATATATACATATATATACATATATGTATATAAGCGTATATATGTATGTGTGTTTATATATATGTATACACACACACACACACACACACACACATATATATATATATACATATATATGTATATATATAAATATGTATATATATGTATATATGCACACACATACGCATATATAATCGAAACCGGTTAAATATATATATATACTTATACATACATACATATACACAGATACATATCCACACAAATATAAAGTATATATACATGTGTGTGTGTGTCTATGTGTGTGTAAGTATGTATATATGTATGTATGTATGTATGAATACAGAGCTACTATTTATATAGAGAGAGATAAGATAATTGACACATATATAATAGATATTTGCATGTGTTCTTGAAAATATTTCGTCTCAAAACCTTTTATTTTCGCTAATGATGATATAGGACTATTTGTTGAACTAAAATAGCTTTAAACGCCTTTGCATGTTTTTACAGTAAAAATGCATTCATCCCGTAGATCCTGTTGTTGGAATTACAGAGGGTGACTACAGCAGTATTTGCGACAGTAACAATGACAGGTGAATATAATTAGTAAATAGATACAGAACAAATGACGAAAAATTCCTTCTGGCAGGTGGTTTGAAGAAAAAAAACGCCACGTGCATACCAGATACAGACATAAAATGCCTAAGAAAAAAATATTATCACGAGTGCAGTTTTCATGTTTACGAAGTTGGCTGTTGAATCTGGTGTCTCTCATCACTTGGAATCAGTGGCCGTATATACTATTATTTGATCAAGAACGCCGTCAAGTACGGGATACACAGGGAATGACAAAAACACAAATCGTAAAGAGCGTGGTATTTGTTTATATGCAAAGTATATATATCGTTATGATCATATAACTTATGTATATGTAAACCAAACCTATAGGTATGTAAATCCTAAAACTTTCCCTGACAAGAACTTGACTCCACTCTCGTAACCACCAAAACACACACATATATATTTGCATATACATGTATATATGTGTGTGTGACAGACATACATAAATATATATAAACATATATGTGTATATATGTATATATATATATATATATTTATCTATATATCTATCTATATATACAGAGGAGAGAAAGGATGGGAGAATGAGAGAGTGATGAAGGCAACATACAGAGGCATTTGTTGCTCACATTTCTCCAGTAGCTGGCGAAGGGAGATCATGTCTACTGTAGATTTGTGAGCACGGAAGCCACATGGTGACTCTGCAGGTGCACTAACAGTACCCCGGCATAGACTTTGCCTACAATGTTCAAAAGTGCGTTACCTCTGTAGTTATCGCAG